GGAAGGAAGAGGTCCAGGAGATACGCTATCTTGCCAGTTACCCAGAACTGAAAAAGACTTTCCCTGAGCTGCTCAAGGTTACTCCTGAGTGTCCTTAAGTGTCACTCATCGCGGTGAGTCTCATTCATCACTGATCTCCAACCCCACCCCACCCCACACCACCCGCTACACATACCCTGACAGGCGTTGTCCCCTATCCACCCAGCACCAACCAGTATAATGGTTTCCAAAGCACTGGTCAGGCGAGGCTGCAGCTGCTAGAGAGGTGCTGTGAACTGAATGAAATCAGGAGGTAAATTTGAGGGAGAAACATCACATATTTACATAATGGTCTGGGGCCTGAAACCCCGTCCTTTCCTCGTGGTTCACCCTCTCCTCCTCCCACCCCAGAAATAATGGTCCCAAGAGACCACGGTTACCCCAGTGTGGGACAACGGGAGTCTATGGGGAAGATGAGACTACTCTCAAGAACAGTGGCTTCTCCAGAGCAACATGGCAATGTTGGTTTTCACGGGGGCTTAATCTCAGACTCTGAGGCCACAACCTTATCAAACACAGGTGATGCTGAACAAAGTGTACGAGGCACCGGGGGCAGGACAGGGAGAAACCCCAAGAAAGGTTTGTGAGAATCAACTAGAAAGAGGTAAGAGCCAGGGTGGGTTTAATGAGACAAGAGGAAGGAAGAGGCGATGAGCCCCTGAGTCCTGGGTCAGAGGTGACAGATGAGGAACAAAGGTACATCTTCAGAAAGGCACCTGCCCCTGAGCGTTTCCTTCTTTGCTTTCCAAGCTGAGCCCAAGAGAGAATTCACAGCCAGACCAAACAAACTCCTGGGAAGTGTCGGTGTCTTGCTCTTATTCTGCTCACAGTACCCATCCTCTGCATGGCAAGACATGGAGACCACAGACCATCGCTCACAATCCTAGTTCAAGACCAAAGGGATGTTGAGTAAGCCTAGGCTGAGATCAGCTAATGGAAGAGTGGCTAGCCCAGGTAACGAGGGGGTTAAAAGGGGATGCTCCCTTTACAGTAAGCCCAAGTCTAGTACTTGAGTGTGAAATGTCTGCATTTAATGGATTTGAGTCAATGAAACCTGACAGGGAATATCATCTTCTCACACTCACATTATCGGGGGGGGGGGGCAGAATCAGCTCCTTCAGCATGCCTAGAAATTTCTACCTGCCTTCCTCTTTGCAGCAAGGTAGGAGTGATTAATGTTCAGAGCTCCTAAGGGAGGAGGTTGTCAAGCCATGAGGATAATAAGCAAGGTGCATGGACCAGGCTAGGCTTGGTAGGTCAACTCATAAGCAGTGGACTGGGGGCTGGGCCTGGGAACTAGGGCAGTGCCCACTCTGCGTGCCAGAAATGGAAGTGTTTCCTGGGGCAGGGCTTTCATTGAAGCCACATCCAACCATTCATCTTCATGGGGACACGGGGCGCATAGCTGACTTCGCATCCTCTGCCTGTGCAATTCCTAAAGGAGAGACAGGGCTCCTGCTGTGGCTTTGACTTCCCAGCGATCTCCCTGGGAGCCAGAGACAGGGTGGGAAGCAATCGGAGTGCAACTATGGACTGTCACGTTTTTAAGCTCCCGTTATAAATTTTGGAAAGGGGCAGTCCCCACTGTCTTTGCCATGTGTGCAGTAAAAGATGCCCAGCCAGGCTGAACACCAGTGTTAACTCAAAGAGGCCTGCCTTGGAGGAACAAGTTCTCCAGCCTCTGCAGGAAAGATGAGCACCCTACTGGAAGGCGTACCATCTGTGCTTGGTCAACACGCATGGGGAACCTTCTTCCCAGCAGAGGCGGCCACCCTTTCCGTATCAGCCCGCTCTTAACCCCTGGGAACATCCCAGCTTACACTAACCCACTTGCTATTCTTTTCAGTGAGGTACTCACACTGTTCAGGTCTTTATATTAAGGTGGCACTCCAGTTTAAAAAAAAACAAACAAACAAAAACCTAAGCGCGGTACAACCCATAGTAAAGTGGCCACACACCATGAAAAAGAGAGCCTAGAGATAGGGAAATTGGTGAAATTCTTACCCTTGAACACCCTCAACTCCATTGATTGGTACTTTGTGTCGCAAATCCCTCTAACTCTAAAGGATGCCTAGCTGCTTCCTATGGAACAGGGGAGAGCCACAAAATGTATTGCTCCTAAAGGAAGCGACTGTGGAAGTGACTTAGAAGGAGAGAAGAGGTGTGTGCATGAAGAGGACTGGAGGTGGGGGGGTATGTTAAGAGGGGGTGAGGCCTGGGGACCCAAGGCAGGCACCCAGAAACGCCTCTCACCTGTGGATGTTCATCTCTCGCGGGGGGCGGTGGGCCTTGTCATAGGAGACCTTGGCGAAGACGCCCGCCACGATGACGAAGGCGATCACCCCGCAGGTGATGTAGACGGTGAAGTTGGTTTTGTCCTTCTCCGGGTCGTACTTGTTCTCCGGCCCCGGCGACACCACCTTGGTGCTGGGCGTCTGCACCCATACCGGGCTTTGGTAGTTGGTGCACTGGCGCTGGTCCAGCTTCTCGTGGCGCTTCTTGCAGCAGAAGCGATAGTAGCAGGTACCGCAACAGTACAGGTAGCCGCTCTCGCTGTTGTTACACTCGAACTCCTTGTCGTACTGGCCGCTCACGTCGTAGTAGCCCCAGCACGTCTCGTAAGTGACGGTCGCGCTGGCCGCCGCCGCCGCCGCCGCGGACTGTCCCCGCCGGCTGCCCGCCTCCGGGACGCCGGACGCCCGGGCGGTGCTGTTCAGCTCGCGGCCGCCGCGGGCTAGGGCACCTCCGGAACGCCGACCCCCGACGGCTCCCGCGCCAAGGGTCCGGTTAGCCGCGCGGCCGCGGGCGGCGTCTGCGCCGGGCGGCAGGTGCAGGGACGAGAGCGACAGCAGCAGCGACAGCAGCAGAGGCGGTAGCAGGAGGCGGCGCAGCGCCATGGCGGGGCCGGGCGGGAGGGCGCGGGCGGACGCGGGCTGCAGGCCGCTGCCCCAGCGGCTGGCCGGACTCCGAGGGCGGCCGCGCGGGCTGGGCGAGGGACGCGGGCCGGTCAGTGGCGGGGCGATGGCGCCATCGAGGCGCGGGCGGTGGCGGGAGCGCACGGAGCGGCGGGGCGCAGGCTGCGCGGGGCTCTCAGGCTGCGCGCCGGCTCCGCGCTCCCCCTGCGGGTTCCGCGCTCCTGGCGGGCAGCCCCATCCCCCGCCCGCGGCAGCGGCGGCCCCGCGCGGCTCGGCTCAGGCCGGCCCCGAAGCGCTGCTCCCGGAGGCGGCGGCGGCGGCGTGGTCCCGTCCGGGCAGGTCCTGCGGGACGAGACGGTGCAGCGGTCACGGGGTGCGGGGATCGGCGGGCTGCCGGGCGGGGAAGGAGTGCGCAGCCCTCGAGGAGTGCGTCCCGGCTGGGACGGTGGCCCGAGGGCGCACAGAAAGCCCCTGCGGGAGTCACCCGGCCGACCGGCCCCGGTGAGGTGCTGCCTGCTGAGGCTGGGGTCCGGCGGGCAGTCCGGGAGCGCGGCGGCTGCACCTCAGTCACTCACCGTACCCGGCTGCGACTGCAGCGGCGGCGGCTAGGCGGGAGCGCAGCGGTCGGAGCTAGAGAGCAGAGCTGGGAGCCGCCTGCACTAGTGCCGGAGCGTGTGCGATAGGCGAGAGGGAGACACACGCACTCACACAGCAGCACACGCGGGAGCGCCGCGCGGGGAGGGCGGGGAGGGAGGCCAGCCGCTCGCCGCCGCCCACGTTTCCACGCCTGGGCGCCCGGGTGGGGGACGGCAGGACTCCTCTTTGCCTCTTCCCCCCTCTCTCGAAGCTCCGCGTCACCGAAGCCCGGACACCAGTTAAGCAACACCGCGCATTAAGCTGGCAAAGAGGGAGCTCCCCCTGCTCCCCACTTCTCATACCCCGGAGCAAGATCAGAGTGAGCTCTCTGGAGCCGGCCGCGGCAGGGTCAGACGTCCTCTGACATTATCGCCCTTCCAGCCCTCTTGGTCAAGTACCACCCCCGCCCCCCTTACCTTAGCCTTGTCTTTGCGCTGCCAGTAAGCGAGTTGGGGTTTCTGCAAGCCTCTGCCTCTCCCTAGTGGTGATGCTCGCAGTCAAGATAAGAGGTCAAACCCATTGCTACAGGTTCCTACACTGAGGCCAGGGGTCAAGTGGGTCTTGGGCCACCAAGTGCCCTGAACTTAGGCTCTTTTCTCCTTCATCTCTCATGCAGGAATGAGATAAGTACAGCTCTTAGTGACACCTCGAATTCCCTCTTTCTCCAACTTTTTTTCAGCGTTGAGACTGAGTTTAAAAGTAAACAAAAAGAAAACTACCTGGGTTTTAAAGATTCCTTTTGGAAACTCCTGTATCCCTGTGCTGAAATTCCTGTTGTTGCTGCTAGGGGAGGCGGGAATCAGAGGCAGGCATTCCCTCCTGACCAGAGTGAGGTAGGCATTCCTGTAACCAGGCTGGCTGAAAGGAGACCCAAAGTCTGACATTCCAAGCTGTGTGGCCACCCCAAGAGGGAGTCAGAGTCTTAGTTTGGAGTGTGTCCTTGGAGGAAGTGGGGGAACGGAGAAGATGAGCAGCAGCCAGCCAAGCTTCTGGCCATGTGTCCTGAGTACTTTGGGGGAAGGCAGGGGACAGACTGTCGGAAGTATGGCAACAGAAATGTCCCTGAAATAGTCCACTCAATCCTACTCAGGGGGTAATTCAAACAAAAGATCAGCATTCAGGAAGCTCTGGCAGTAAATGGACGGATTGAATTGGAGCTGGAACTCAAGATTCCAAGACACATGGGGACATTTTTCACACTGGGATGGGTAGAGAGAGATTCACTCATTCTGGCCGGCTCTTCTAGAAACACTCCATGTGTTTCTCAATACCACCTCCTCCTCCTCCTCCTCCTCGTCCTCCTCCTCCTCCTCGTCCTCCTCCTCCTCCTCCTCCTCCTCCTCCTCCTCCTCCTCCTCCTCCTTTCTTCTTCTTCTTCTTCTTCTTCTTCTTCTTCTTCTTCTTCTTCTCCTCCTCCTCCTCCTCCTCCTCCTCCTCCTCCTCCTCCTTCTTCTTCTTTCTTGGCACTTCCTGTTTCCTTCATCTCTTAATGGTTCTGCTAACCATCACTTTTACTGCCAATCCTGCCATGTGCGCTGGTAAGTGCTAGGATAAGGAACAAATAATGTAGCCCCTTCTGTAAGGAGTTCATTTACAGAGACAGTCAAATGATTTCTGCATGGCATGTTTGTGTCCACGACAGAGATGGGCACAGCCTAGTCTCAGAGCAGGGTATAGGCATCTAGCACAGCCCAGGAGAGGAGCAGTGATGGTTCAATACAGTTCTCAGGGTACTCACGAAATGCATGGTGAAGAATGATTAAGAATTAGAAAAACAAGCAAGAAGGTAAGGATGCTTCCAGCAGAGGAAACAGTAAAACCGGAAGAAGTGAATTAGTGTGGGTGGGTGAACTAGGCATACAGAGTGGTGAAACTCTTAGAGGGGCTTCTAAATAGAGCAGCTGGGGGGCACTGTAGGTCCTGTCAAGGAATTTGTATGTATTTCAGCTGCTGGGGAAATATTGGTGAGTTTTAATAGGGGAAGATGCTATCAAATTATAAGTTTGTTACATCCTCAAGTCTATTGGAGAAGACTGGACACAGGGAAAGCAATTTAGAAGCTGTGCTGGTAATCCAGATGCAAAATTGATGGAGCTATGAAGTGGACATACGGGAGAGGATGCCTACAATGGAGGTGATGTTCTCATTCAGAAGAGCAGGCTCAAGGCAGTTAACAGTGGTCATGTGGAAGTGTCTTTGAGAGGTCCACCTGAGGCAGCCCCCCAGGGCAACAACAGAAAGCTCAGAGGAAGCAAATAGGCACACATACTTGGTATTCAGGACAGTGTATTTGAAGAAAACAGCACTGTGCCATTGAATCTGAATACTATGTGTGATTTCTAAGCCAATCTCTTCCTGTCTTCTAGTGTTCCCATCTCTTTCATTTGTCCAGAATTTCCGTATGTGTATCTGGACATTCCCTCAGAAATATGCAGAAGACTAAGTTGTTCTCATGAGAGACTCTAACAAGATTTCATCAATCTTACCGATAAAGGGAAACTGACTAGGTTTCTCAAGTCAACTTTCCCCCAATAGGGGCAAATGTGTTGTCAATTCCTGTGCTCCCAAATCATGACATCAACAGACTCACAGAAACAGTATTTTGGTAGGCTAGACTGTGCACAGTTATTTATTTCAATCCTTATTGTAATACATGCTATTATTACTGATACCTCTCCTGTTCACTCTTTGGGGTTGATCAGGTGACTTACCCTCCATCATGCTCCCCCCTGACCCTACCCTATTTTCCACTTTTTTTTTTGAATGTTAGATTCTTGGCAGTATTGAAACATACTTTATTTGTGGATTTGACCCATTTAAAAGTTCCAGAGAAAAATAACTTTCCCCAAACATACACTGACTTTCTGAAGCCCTGAGGCTATAGGGAAAGTGCCCCAATCCTTATTTCTGAAAGGTATGTTCCAATTGGTCTGAGCCAGCTGTAACAACCACCTTCTCTTTAACAAGGATTGGTTAAGAATGCTTATGGGGGGCTGGAGAGATGGCTCATCACTTAGAGTTCTGGCTGCTCTTCCAGAGGACCTGGGTTCAATTCCCAGCACCCACATGGCAGCTTACAACTGTCTATAACTTGAGAATTCAACCCTCACACAGACATACATACAGGCAAAACACCAATAAAGTAAAAGTAAATAATTTTTAAAAATGCTTGCGTGATCTAGTTCTAAATAAAGGCAATCTGATGGGGAATGGGTAGACTTCCTTGCTGTTAAAGCGGTAATAATTTTACACTTCTGAGCATAGTTGCTCTGGATGGTAGGGGGTGGGGAGTGGTGATATTCAGCTTGATAGTCATCAGTACTGCTTACTGGGTGTCTCTGCTCTGCCCTTCAGGCATATAGTGGAATTGCAACCCATGGGCTTCCTGTAAAAAGCAGGTGTCCTGCTTGGTTTTTTTGGTAATGACACAAGCTAGAGTCATCTAGAGGGAACCACACTGAGCAAAGCCTTTGGAGCATTTTATTAATCAGTGATTGACCTGGAAGGCCCAGCCCATGGTGGGTGGTGCCACCCTGGGCAGACAGTCCTGGGGTGTATGAAAAAGCAGACTATGCAAGAAGTGGGGAACAAGCCTGTGAGCAGCAGCCTCCCGCCCATGACCTCTGCTTCAGTTCCTGCCCTGACTTCCTTTGATGATGGACTGTGATATAGAAGTGTAAGATAAAATAAACCCTTTCCTCCCCAAGTTGCTTTTAGACATGGTATGCTTTTCATAGCAATAATAGCCCTAACTAAGACAGGGAGATAAGTGGACATGTAGTGTTCATTCAGTGAGTTGCGAGCAGGAATTGTGTGTGGTGTTTCAGAAGCATCCAATTGCAGTGGCATCCCCATCCCACACTTCTTGTTTCCTTCTGAGGCTGGGATAAGGAAGCTTCACTGTGAGAATGGTTTTCGTACCCAGGGTTGGCGCCCAACGTCCGGCCACATATATCAACATAAGGCCTGAGAAAGCCAAAAAAAAAAAAAAGTCTGACCAAGCAGTTTCCTGGTGCTGCATCCTGGCTTCCGAAGTCTCAGGTAGGCTGGGGGTACAGACATGGCTCTTTTAAGAGGCCCTGCTGTGCAATTGAGCACTTGAGCAGCTGGCACTGGGCACAACTGCCTGCCACAGGCAGACACAACATTCCCAGAGCTGGAGCAGGTAAATGTGGCTCTGGGATCAGTACCTGCCTGCATGAGGTTAGACTCTGACAGAACCAAGTGGGGCGGAGCCAGTCACCAGCATGACATGTAATAAGTGGATCCCCATAGCAATAGTCTAGCAGTTTAATTTTGACTCATGTGGTCAGAGGAGGCTGCAGACATGCAGGAAGTCAGATCCCGACCAAGAAAACCTCTGAACAGCTATAATACGTTTTAAAATGTGCTTTGATGCTGGAGAAAGAAAAGAAAATGGGTATAGACAGTCATAGGAAAAAATAAATAGTTTAAAAATAATAAAGTAATATCTTTAAGGACAGAATAAAGTAATATAAAAAGAAAAAAGCCATGTAAAGGTGGGAAATACACAGGACATCTGGATCTTGTATGGTGTTTGGCTGACTTTGAATTTCTTGGATGCTGATGAGCAAATGGCAGCTGCTGAGAGACACTGGATTATGGAACGAACTGCTGAATTAAATCAGCCTATATACTTTAGAAATCTCTTGACTTTGAAATGGATGTTGGGAAATGTGTTGTGTTGGGGGAGATGTTATGCTTTTGTTTCCACAGGAAATAAAAAGTTATGGTTCTCTTCAAAATTAATAAAGATCAGATTTGATCGGGGCAGACCTCCTGAAAATCTTGACTACAGACATGAAAAATGAAACCCCAAAAGACTATAGGACAGGTGACATATATGCTGATCCCTCTACTATGGGGACAGATCTGAGACTGGATGGGACATGATAAATCATGTTGGCTACAGAGTCCTCATGACTTATTATTACATGCCATTCTTTCATATGGCATAGATAGAGGTTTGGTTATACAGTCCAAACAAACTTATAAAGTTAACGGATGCCTTTGTCTTGCCCAAACATAAAACAAAAAAAAATCATCTTTAACTGACTTGTGCACACTGCACATTCCATACTTGTGTTAATGCAGATATATATGTTACCTTTAAAAGTGTATGTGTTTTCAGGGGGAAAAAAGGACCAGACACCAATAAAGATAAGTATCCCTGGTGATCCAGCCCCTCAGAATGCCTCTGTTGCAGTTATCTCAAAATTCTATATCCAGAACAACTTCAAAGCTGCTAGCTGAGATGGTCCAGCCTCCAGACTATCCAGTCAAGACTTCAGGTAAGCTCTATATTTTCTCATCACATAGAGACTAAACAAAAAATAATACAGCTAGCTCTCTTAGGACTTGACCATTATCCCAATTTTCTCAGGGTCCTCTAAAGAAGTCATCACCCCCAGACAACAGGAAGCAGTCTAGAAAACATGATGCCCACATTCCCAAGAGGTGGGGTAGGTGGTTTTTGCTCATTTGGTGTGTTATAGAAGTTTGTCGTCATTTTTTTTTTTTGGGGGGGGTTGGTTATAAGTTGTTATTGGCAATGATCAGGAAAAAAAAGCTGAAAAAGGAGATTAGATTCAAGGATCTCTTTCTGACAGGAAAAAGGAGGGATATAATATAGAAATGATGGGATAAAAGGGTAAATTATTGAATCTACTTTTAAACTAAAAAAACTCAACTATCAATCTTAAATATTGTAATTGGTATATGGATTTTTATATATTGATACAAATCTAAGGTTATTTTCGTTATACTGTACATATGTTTAAGATATTATACCTATGCAGATCATTTAAAAATGTAATGTAAACTTCTAGTCCTTGAAAGCTATTTAGGATAATAAAGAAATACAGGTTAGAAGTTAGTCATCGATAACAATCAAACTTATAGTTATACTAGATATGTTTCCAAGGTCAAACAGAAATCTATTTTAAATAGATAGATGGTCTTCAAATACTTCAAAGGCTTAAAGAATGTGGCATTTAAAATGTTTTACTAACATAAGGTTTTTCATGACAGTGAGACATGTCTGCTCCTGGAAGCACAATTTACTTCAAAAAAAGATGATGGGCATCAAAGAACCTCCATATGGAATTTGCTTTCAATGTAGCAAAGCTAGCCATTTGGGCAAGAAACTGCAATTGCCTCAACTGCTGGCAGTGTGCTGTCCAAACTGGACAAGCAGGACACAAAAGAAAGCGACTGCTGAACTTTGCCAAGACAAGGTGGGACAGTCCTTCAAGATTCCTGCTTCACAGAAAAGTCTGTCAGATGTTCTAGGCCTGTAGGCCAAAGATGGATGCTCCAACATTGCAGTGGAACCTTGGGTGACTGACCAGGCAGCCAGATGTCTCTGTCATTTCTATAGTTTCGGAAGTTGTTTGCTCTACACTTCCTGTTTACTCAGGTAATATTATATCCTTCTCAGGTCTCTGATGAGATTAAAGACTAGATAGTTATAGTTTTATAGTTTTCCTTGTTACCAAATTCAAAAGAGAAACTTATATAAGAGATGTAAAGTTTATAAGGTTGAGAAAAATGAAAGCTTATGTTGTTTATCTAAGAAGATGTTTTAAGGTCTAAAAGGGTATTTTTAGAATGGTAATAAAAGTTATAATAAAAAGTGGTTTATGTCTAAAACTTTGGACTCATCAAAATAAAATAGATAATAGAATAATTTCTCTAAATTTGACAAATACAAATGGACGGACCATTGTGAGCGTATTTCTTACTTGATAATTGTTCTTATTGTATATAATTTTACTGTATTAGCATTAAAACCTTTCCTTTTTATTTAGACAAAAAAGTGGAAATGTTGTGGGATATTTGTTCACTGTGTGAAACTGTATTGCTGTGATTGTTGTAATAAAAAGCTGGACAGCCAATAGCTAGGCAGAAGGTATAGGCAGGATTTCCTGGGAGAGAAAGGAAGAGGAAGAGGAATCTAGGCATGCAGGAGAAGCCAGAAGACACAGAGAGAAAACAGAAGTTGCAAGATGGAAGAGAGGTAATGCCACGTGATAGAATGTAGATTAATAGAAACAGTTTAATTAAGTTATAATAGTTAAGCCTTGCCGGGCGGTGGTGGTGCACGCCTTTAATCTCAGCACTCAGGAGGCAGAGGCAGGTGGATCTCTGTGAGTTCGAGGCCAGCCTGGGCTACAGAGTGAGTTCCAGGAAAGGCTCCAAAGCTACATAGAAAAACCCTGTCTTGAAAAAAAAAAAAAAAGAGCTAAGCCTTATAAGCCTATACATTGACACAGCCTAAGCTAAAGGTCAAGCTTTTATAATTAGTAAGAAGTCTCCATGTTGTTATTTGGGGTAGGTGGTAGAAAAGAAAGTCCATCTATCCAGGGTCCTTTACTGAAAGCATGAAAGATAAAATACATTTGTTTGCTTTTTTAAAGCCTCAAGAATTAAAGTCTGTTAACTTAGGACATCCTAATTCACCCTGGGAAGGTGATAGATGAAAGGATGGAGCTACACCACAGACTTATGCCCAGAGCCCTCTCAACTCTGGTCTACTAGCAATGTGAGGTAAATTCCTCCCCAAGCCTATTTGAATATGGACATCCTTTTAAATGTAGCCAATAGCATTCCTAATATATGAACTGCATCTTGTCATTTTTTTTCACTTTTTTTTAAAGACAATATTTCTCTGTGTAAGAGCTCCAGCTGTCCAGGAACTTGCTTTGTAGACCAGGCTGACCTTGAACACATAGAGATCCACCTGCCTCTGCCTCCTGAGTACTGGGATTAAAGGTATGTGTCACCATGCCCAGCTACATTTTGTCATTCTTTATTTTGATTTTCTCTAGGGTTTTGAATTAGCTATGTAACTTTGTACTGATGTATCAGTTTTATGAATTTCTGTTTTCACCTTTATGAAAGGAGAGGGGGATTATGTCCTAGAAGACATACCATCTTTTCTCACTATAAACTTTACCATGGCCTCTAAGCATGAACTTGGCCTCTAAGCCCAGTGTGATCTGGTCCTCAGCTGATCTAAGCCTGTTTCCTTTTAGTCTGTCTTGACTTCTCCCTCTAGTCATACTGGTTCACTTCTTCTCCCTGAGAGCCTTTGTAGTAGCTTCATTCTCTGCCCATAGCCCCTTCTTGCAGGCATGTGCAGGATTCTTTCTCCCACCCTGTGGGCTCTGCTTAAGTGTGATAAATGGAAATGGTGCAGTACCCATACCCAGTTCTTCTCCCACTGTTTGGATTTGTACCTCCTCCTGATACGTTTTTCCGTCACAGCATTTACCACCATCTGATAGACTTTAGACAATCCTGTTCTCTCCTCCCAGCTACAATATTGGCTCTTGATTCAGCTTTGTTGATTCCTGTATTCTAGATGCCTACATCCATGATAGAGGTCCAGTAGTCTAAGATAGACACAGAAAGACTCCCCTCCAGCTGTCAGACCCTCTGGGGTCTTTAGAAAGTCATCCCCTCTGAGAACATGCCAGCTTCCCCAAGAAGCCCATATCTAGTGACAGATTACAGTGGGGGTACCAATGTGTAGCTATTTCAGCACCAAACCCTCGGGTGAGCTTGTCTTGTCTGAAGTCCCAGAGTACCCCGGAACCAAGGTTTTACTGAATCTATATCACATCTGCCCAATCCTGTTTTCTCCCCCATTTTCATCAGTGTTGTTCTTCTAGAAAAGTCTGCGTGCCAAATTTTGTTTCCATATCTACTTCAGAAGTTCTGATCCTGTGCCATGGGCACTCAGAAATTTACATTGAATGGATGTTTCTGAGTCCCCCATTTCTCTCAGTGCCATTCTTGTTAGCAATTGCATAGCTTTTGTTCTATCTTCTACAGTAACAAGTTTGAAACTATCTCCTAAGGCCACCAGTTCCGATGTTAAATAATCTAAGTCAGAAAATTAGAGTACATTAGCTTTTGTTAATGCTGCTGATAGGTAAATCAATTTGTTCATTCACACCAAGCTTATAGTTTAGAGTGGCCTTCATGTTAGGATGACATTTTTGCATTCATGCAAAACACTGCATACACACTTTAGCTCATTTGGAAAAATGCAAGCCTGTTACTCCAGAACTGTGTGCATTTAGGGAACTTCTTGTGCAGTATGATGTTTCAGGGTATCATTGTCCCTTGTTTTTACTGTGGGGGCTTGCTTTCCTCCACTCTCATTCCAAGGGATCTGCATGGGCCACACAGGACCCACACTGCAGCAAAACACATGTCAGTCAGCTTGTATATTCAGGGTGACTTGGTGACAGAAACTCACCCAGTGAGATGAGTGACAGGACTCGTATGAGCAGGGCAGGAAAGAACCTCACTCTTCCCTCTGGATTGTCCTGTGGCTACTGGTGTCCTCACAGGAACCCCAAGAAAAGAGCTGGTCTGGGGAGAGGCTGAGATGCAGAGAAACATGATCCTGTTAGCACATTTGAGTCCTGGGTATAGCATCATCTTACTAAGTCTGCCCACAAGTGTACTTTTTAATTTGTATATTGTGTGTGTGTGTGTGTGTGTGTGTGCCACAGAATGCCCTGCAAAGGCTAAAGGAAAGCTTTGGGGTTTCCACCATGTGAGTCACCAAGATCAAACTCAGGTCATCAAGCTTGGTGGCAAGCACCATTACTGCTAGCCTTCTAACCAGCTTAACCACCAGATACTTTTATGGAACCTGAGCAAATACATCCTTGTTTTACTTAGCTTCTATTCACTGGGCTTTCTTTTTGCAGCCCAAAGGATCTTACCTAACACAATCAACCTCACAGCTCTCTGAGTTCAAGCAGGAAGAAGTAGCAAAGCCTTCCGATGAGTGACCAGACATACCCTCTGCTCTGTTTACAGCAAGTGAGCAGTACAGCTGAGGATGGACAGAGCAAGTCAAGTCAGTATGTGGGAGATATGACTAGTGAGGGCCCCTTCACAGCGGCTGCCATCAGGATGCACGGGTAGACTTAGGCTAAGGAGCTGTGGTTCACTAGGAGCATCCAGGAGAAGGAACAGACACAGGTAAATTTAGTCTTGGTGGGAAAATCCACATGAGTAGATACCAAAGTATGGGGGAGCATACAGAATGTTCCAGAGAATAAATTGAGCTTACCAGACACAGTGTCCAAGAAACACATCAGTCTTAGCCATAGATTTGAAAATTATCATGAACATAGTATTCACTCTAGTAGAACACTCCAGAGAGACAAGTTTGGGGGACCCAGATAGTTATCAGCACAGAACATTGGTTAGAGACCAGCAGCTATCATCTGCTACCAAGCATGACAGAGGACAGGCCCAGGAGTGGTGGCACTTGCCATTGGCAGACAACTGGAATCATGGACTAGCCAGCAACAATGAGTTAATACAGGGAAAGGAAATTGAGAATTTCAATGTAGACATTTGTTCCATGGGATGGCTAAAAATAGTAGAGACTAGAAGAGCCAGAACCTCCCCTGAGTCTTATGTATACTTCAAAGGTAGGACAGGGTAGTCCAAACCACTGTTAAGTTTTCTGTCTTAGAGATGCTAAAGATGGAGTCACTCATGGCCATAGAGAAAGCAGTTCCAGAGCATGTGGGAAAAGCAGCTTTGAGGTGAGTGAGAGGTAAACACATTTCATTCTTTTTCTCTCCCTCCCCTGAAAAAAAAGAATGGAGTCTATTTGTTCTCTTTTGAATCTGGAGCTGACATCATGACTTGCTTTACCTAAGAGAATATGGTAAAAGAGACATTGTGTCAACTCTCCCTCTCTCTCTGGAGAACTTCTGCATTTTTTTGGAATCTAGTATCCTGTAACAAACATGGCTAACTTAGAATATTGAGTGACAAGAGATCACATGAAAAGAAATCCTAGAATTCCAGAAAATGACTTGAATATTTCATTTCCAGCCAAACTCCCAAAGGAATATAACCCTGGACTGAGCCAAAGTAAAGCCAGAACAACCAACCAGCCCAGCCCCAGCCAAAAAGTAAGAGATCACAGGAATTCCAGGTGTTTTAAGCCATTCAGTGTTGTGGTAGGTTATCACAACATAATTACCAGCTAAATCAAACCCAAGAGTTCAGACTCAAGATAGAAATGGGTTAGGAGTAACTTCTGGCCACAAAGATATCTGACATTGTTTTTGCCAGCTACTACTTTATTCCCCTAGGCTGAATAACAGAGTATCACAAATTGAGAGAGGTTTAAATAACTGAGTAGTGGCCGAGTGGTGGTGGCACACACCTTTAATCCCAACACTTGGGAGGCTGAGGCAGGTGAATCTCTGAGTTGGAGGCCAGCCTGGTCTACAGAGTTCCAGGACAGGCAGGGCTACACAGAGAAACCCTATCTCAGAAAACAAAACAAAACAAACAAACAAAGAAATGTGTTTGTTGGCAACTTCTGAGTGCAGTGAACACAGGATCTACCCAAGGTCTTTGTCCTTGGCCAAGCCTGTTGATGGTTGGCTTCTTGTTCATATGGTCCTCTTTCTACTTAAGTGTCTGTCTCCAAATTCCCTTTTTATTATTTTTTAAGGAACCTAGATACTAATTTAGGTCAATCCAGGAATGGTTATCCTTTCCATGCCCTGTCCAGGTCTACACACCTGCCCTGGTAAGATGCAGGAGATTCTGAAACAGAATCCTAGCACCAGGTTGACCAACCAGCAAGTGGAGCAACAGGAAGTTTATGGTACATGCTTATGACTCAAACTATGGCACTACAGTCAGATGAGCACATGGGAATTCACAACCTCGGGATTATTTTGGTCTAAGTCAGACATGTCAAAACAAGGATGATATCAAATTATCCTTATGGCTTGCCTGGGAAGGGATTAACTGATCTCTGGGCTCATTTTTTAAATCATTTATTCAGTCATTAGGTAAATATTTAACCACTCACTGTTATGTACTAGTCACTAGATAGACCCTGAAAAACACAAAGAAATAGATTATACTTTCTGATCTACAATCGGGTACCCACCTTTATGAAGCCACCCTCCTTCATTCTATTACATTTCAGAGACTGAGAGAAAGAAGAGCCTCTGTGAGAGCAGATTAGAAATGTCTTTCCTCCTGGATGAATGCCCAATAACTCCATAGAAAATGGACTTTCTCCATTAGATCATCATCTACACGATGAGAAAGATGCCTTTGAAGATTCAAACCACCTTGTGAGATGTCCTAGAAACATAACTGAATGGCCTAATACATGGGTCACCAATTCACTCAATGCCTTATCAGCTTGTGGAGGGATGCCCCCATCAAGGAGGCTGCTTTGCTGTTGGTACAATCCGGAATCATCCAATGTCATTTTCCTCATGCTGGAAGTAATGATACTAAAGTACTTAAAGTCCTGCTAGTTAGAATTGATACACATCTTAAGAGTAAGATGTGGTTATAGCATCCAACAAATACAAGTTTTGTGTTTTCTTCTAACACACACACACACACACACACACACACACACACACACACACACACACATATAATACCGAGAGGAGTATTGCACTGCACACATATTTTGGGTCATAAGACAGCTCATTTTAATTTGTATTCCTGAGTGAGTTTGAAGTGAG